TTGTTCATCAGTCCTCCTTCTCTGCATCTGGATTCCAGTTCAGTTCAAGGTTTAGCTGTGGGTGTCTGCTTCTACTTCCACCAGCTGCTGGATGAAGGCTATAAAATGGCATATGGATTAGTCATCAATCTCATTATCAGGAGAGGGCATTTAGGATAGCCTCTCAATTGTTGCTTAGATTGTTTGTTGGTGTCTTCATCATAGATCTCTGGACATTTATCTAGTGCCAGATTTCTCTTTAAACCTATAATGGCTCCCTCTATTATGGTATCTCTATTTTGCTCTCCTCTATTATTTCCCCAACTCAATCTTCCTGCTCCCTCATGTCCTCCTCACCCCTCCTCTTCTCCCCTTCTCATTCTCCAAGTTCCTTCTCCCCACCATGCTCCCAGTTGCCTCAGAAGACCTTGCCCCTTTCCCCTTCTCCAGGGGAGCATGTAGGTCTCTCCTAAGGTCCTCATTGTTTCCCAGCTTCTCTGCCAGTGTGGATTGTAGGCTGATAATCTATTGTTCTATGTCTAAAAGCGATATATGAGTGAGTACATACCATGTTTGTCTTTTTGTGACTGAGTTACCTCACTCAGGATGGTTTCTTCTAGTTCCATCCATTTGCCTGCAAATTTCAAGTTTGTATATTTTTTTCCTATGAGTAGTACTCCATTGTGTAAATATACCACGTTTTCTTTACCTAGTCTTCAGTTGAGGGGCATCTAGGCTGCTTCCAGATTCTGGCTGTTACAAATAATGCTGTTATGAACATAATTTAACAGAAGTCCTTGTTGTATGAATGTGCTTCTTTTGGCTATATGCCTAAGAGTGGAATTGCTGGATCTTGTGGCAGAATGATTGCCATTTTCATAAACTGCCACACTGATTTCCAAAATGGCTGTATGAGTTGGCACTCCCACCAGCAGTGGAGGGGTGTTCCTCTTTCTCCATATCCTCTACAGCATAAACTGTTATTGGTGTTTTAAATTAAGCTGTTCTGACAGGAGTAAGATGGTATCTCAGAGTTGTTTTGATTTGCATTTCCCTGATGGCTATGGATGTTGAGCACTTTCTTATGTGTCTGTCAGCCATTTTAGATTCCTCTATAGAGAATTCTCTATTTAATTCTATACCCCACTTTTTAATTGAATTATTTGGTGTTTTGGTGACTAGCTACTTGAGTTCTTTGTATATTTTGGAAATCAGCCCTCTGTCATATGTGGGATTCATGAATATCTTGAGAGGATAAAGCTTTATTCCTAGGAATTTCCTCCTCTGTTCTTGATGAGTGGGTCAGTGTTTACTTCATGTTTCCACTTGACAGACTTCCTCTTCTCTTCTAGGTGTTTACTCCAGGAAAGTCACACTGTCAACCCTTGCCAGTCCTTTGGTGACCTCAGGACAGAATGTCACTCTTCAGTGTGTGTCACAACAGGCATATAACAGATTCATTCTACTGAAGGAAGATCAGATGTTCTCCAGTGCTGTGTCCTCACCGAACATAAACCATGGGCTCTCAGGAGCTCGTTTCAGAGTGGGTCCTGTGACCCCTGACCAGAGGTGGAGGCTCACATGCTATGGATATTACCTGAATAACCACCAGGTGTGGTCAGTGAGCAGTAATGACATACAGCTCCTGGTCTCAGGTAAGGAAACTCCAGCCTTGTCTTTGAATGATATTACAACAGACACAGGATCCCAGGGAAGGACCTGATGTGTTATGGGTGATCAAGAGACAGTGCTATAGACAACAGTTTCAGCAAATGTGTGATATAACTAGACTAGAGGTGCAAAAATCTGTGTGGATAATCACAGTGGACCCAAATAGGTCAAGGGAAGAGTGAGGTCTTTATGTGTCCTTCTGCTGTTGCTCATCAGCTTAAGGGTCTTTGCAAATGTGACCTTTAATGTGCAACTGTCCTAAGAGATGCACTTGTTTTTCTTCTACATCTTTTCAGGGAACCTTCAGAAACCCAGCATCTGGGCTCAACCAGGCTCTGTGTCTCTTCAGGAAGTTCTGTTACCATCTGGTGTGGGGGTCCACTACAAGCCCTTACATATGTGATCCATAAAGAGGGAAGCCCAGAAGCCAGACACATAGAGACCCAAGTAGACCACAATAACAAGGCAAAAGTCTCTATCCCATCTGTGTCTAGCCTGAATGCAGGGAGATATAACTGTTTCTCTTACAGCTCTGATGGCTGGACAGAGCACAGTGACATAGTGGAACTGGTGGTGACAGGTAAGAGGACACTACGTGTCACAATCTTTGCCCCTGTCCTCAAGAAATAATCTCCCAAAGGGTTGTTTTCATTGCCTATCTGTTGCAGACAATGTAGCCTGTCTTTATTGTAACAGGTTGTGTCCTCCTCTCCTAGGTGTCCATGATGGCAAACCTACTCTGTCAGCTTTGCCCAGCCCTGTGGTGACCTCAGTTGGGAATGTGACCCTTCAGTGTATGTCTTCCATAGGATACGATGGGTTCATTTTGACTGGAGCAGATCTGAAGTTC